AGTGAAATTTTTGAAGTGTACTTTTGTTGAGTGGACGAATATTGTTCAGAAATTACATTCAAAGAATTTTTGTAGGATATTCTCATCCAAAAGTCAAAGAATGGGTCACTCTCAGGAGCTCAGTAAATTCAAGTGTGGTACTGTGATAGCTTGCCACCTGTGCAAAACAGCCCATCCGTGAAATTTCCTGGCTGTGTAGTATTCCACAGTCAATTGTATTAGAACAAGTGGAAGCAACTGCGAACAACAGCAATTCTGTCATGTTAGGTGGCCTATCACTTTGTGACAGAGCGGGGTCAGCGCATGCTGAAGCGCACAGCGCGCAGAAGCCTCCAACTATCTGCAGAGTTAATAGCTAAAGACCTCCAAACTTGGTGTGGCCTTCATATTAGCACAAGAGGGTGTAGAGAGCTAATGGAATGGGTTTCTATAGCCAAGCAGCTGTATCCAAGCCTTACATCACCAAGTGCAATGTAAAGCGTCAGATGCCGTGGTGTAAAGCATACTGCTACTGGACTCTAGAGCAGTGGAGATGTGTTCTTTGGAATGACCAATCACATTTCTCTGTCTGGCAATCCGATGGACTTGTCTGCAGTCAGGCAAGTACCGTTCTGGCAACTGCCAAACCCATTGTGTAAAGTTTAGAGGGGGGATTGTGCTTGGCCCCTTTGTCCAAACTGTCTTGGTATGTGGACACCTTAAGCGTTCCCTTCCCTGGAACTATTTCATGTTCCTAACTTGTTGTGGGAACAGTTTGGGGATGACTCCTTCCTCATCCAACATGACTGCACACGAGTGCACAAAGAAAGGTCCATAAGACATGGATGAGTGAGTTTGTGTAGGCCAATCAAGTTCCTCCACCCCTGAGTTCTGACCTCAACCCCATAGAACACCTTTGGGATGAATTAGAGCAGAGACTGCGAGCCAGGCCTTCTTGTCCGACATCAGTGCCTGACCTCACAAATGTGCTTCTGGAAGAATGGTCAAACCTTCCCATAGACACCCTCCTAAACCTTGTGGACTGCCTTCCCAGAGGAGTTGAAGCTCTTAGATCTGCAAAGGGCGGGGCCAACTCCATATTAAACCCTACGGACTAAGAGTAGGATGCCATTAAAGTTCATGTGCGTGTGAAGGCAGGCCGACCAATACTTTTGGCAAAATAGTGTATTTTTAAGGGTCCTGGTAGCCCAAACTATTCCCCGGGCTGGGCATCTTTTCTAACTTCAGCAGAAATCCATGCACTGGAAAAGGCTGAGCCACCTGGGTCATAAGCTCACTTAGCTTCAAGTGCAGTACCTCTCCTATATACTTTGCTCTCTAGCCTTTAGACACAGTGCCCTAGTGTAAGGGCCACCTCTGGCCTATGGCTGGGGTTCACCAGAAAGTGAGACCTCTGTCTCATAGAGGGGTCAGAGGACCTAGCCCGAAGCCATCTCACACAGTGGGAGTAGTCTCCCATTAGGAGCCTTGAGCTGTTCTCTCTTCAACCTTGTCAGACCTACCTGCTCTGTGCAACTGTTTTGCACAGAGCAGCCTGGATTCTCTTCATCTGAGGTCCCCCACCAGTGCTTCTGGCTCCTCCCTGCCTTCAGCGTGCCCCTATAGCAGGGTAAAATAACTGCTGCCTTTTTAGAATCTTACTTCCTTCTCCTGCCCAGGCATTCCTCCTCACACATTCACATGTTCTCAAGCACTTACTAATATGTATGAATGGTGTACTGACCTTTTGTGTGATGCACTGGATATACTGACATGTATGGAGAGTGTACTGAGCTGTATGTGTGCTGCATTGTATTTTTCTGATACAGCGGGTAAAATAAGTATTGAACACGTCACCATTTTTCTTGGTCAATATATTTCTAATGGTGCTATTGACATGAAGTTTTCACCACATGTTGGTCACTATCCATGCAATCCGTACATACAAAGGAACCAAAACAAATGCTTTCAGAAATTTAAGTTATGTAATAAAATGGAATGACAAAGGGAAAAAGTTTTGAACACGTGAAGCAAGGGAGGTGCACAAAAGGCAAGGAAAGCCAAGACAGCAGCTGAAATCTATTAGAAAATAATTTACACTCAACTGATGGCCTATAAAAAGATGTCAAATGAGACATCTCATGATTGGTAAAAGCAAAGAGCTTTCAATACCTTTGTAACCTGATTGTTGTAAAACATACTGATGGCATTGGGTACAGAAGGATTTCTAAACTTTGACTGTTCCAGTGAGCACTGTTGAGGCCATAATCTGGAAGGGGAAAGAACATAATTTTACCATGAACTGGCCACGACCAGGTGCTCCTCCAAGATTTCTGGCAGAGGAGTGAAAAGCATGATCAGAAGAGTTCTCCAAGAGCCAAGGACCACTTATGGAGAGCTTCAGAAAGATCTGGAATTAGCAGGTACAATTGTTTCAAAGAAAAAAAATAAGTAATGCACTAAATTGCCTTGGCCTCTATTCATTTCACCACGCAAGACTGCATTGCTGAAGAAAAAGCATGTTAAAGCTTGTTTAAAGTTTGCCAGTACCATATGCTGGAAAAACAGCCCCACACCATGATGGTTCCACCTCCACCTGTTGTGCAGCAAACATCGGTCCATTTTTCCATTCATCCTTCCTTCAATGGAATAAGACATTTTTGAAAAAGAAAAAAAAAAATCTGCTGCCATCTACCACGATGAAGAAGATGAAACAAGGGTGGACATTTCACAATGACAATTAAACCAAACACAAAGCCAAGGAAACTCTCAATTAGTTTTAAGAAAGTAACTAAAGCTGCTAGAATGGCCCAGCCAATCACCTGACTTGAATCCATTGAAAATCTATGGAAAGAACTAAAGATCAGAGTTCATAGAAGAGGCCCAAGGAACCTTCAAGATTTGAAGACTATGTGGAAGAATGAGCCAAAATCACATCTGAGCAATGCATGCCACTAGTCTCTCTATACAGGAAATGTCTCGAAGCTGTCATTACAAACAAAGGATTTTGTACGTAGTATTAAATAAATTTCAGTTGGTGTGTTCAATCCTTTTTCCCTGTTATTCCATTTTATTACACAACTTAATTTTTAAACTTTGTCTTGGTTTCTTTGTATGGATGATTGCATGGGACGTTAAAGCGCAGTTCCATCAGATTTAAAAAAAAAAAAGTCAGCAGCTACAAAAACTGTAGCTGCTGACTTTAAACTACGGACACCTGTCCCTTGATCCAGCAGTGTCCTCACCATGGCTAGTTTCACCAGCCATCTTTGCTCCCTGGCATCTTCAGTGTGGGCACCCGGCTGTGACAGCTTGCGGCTTCACAGCCGGGTGCCCACTGCGCATGCACGAGTATGCTTTTGTGAACGGTCACGTAGTCTTCTGGGACCTGTCATTGTCCCACAAGACTAGGGGGAGGACAACTGCCACTTCTCTAGGTGATCGGAGCAGAAGTGGGAGCAGGCATCTGTCAAATATGGGTACCCGCTCCCCAAAGGTGCCAATCCTTAAAGGGGAGTGGGGGACAATGCATTAAAGCGGAACTTCTCCTTTTGGGTGGAGCTCCACTTTAATGACATGGAGAAAATGTCAATAGCCCCTTTTTAGAAATAGATTTACTGAGAAAAATGGTGACGTGTTCAAAATGTTTTTTTAACTGCTGTATATAAACAAATAATGCATTCTGAGCACAGGCCAACTAATCAGTTGACAAACCTATCTATTAGGAAAAATGCTCATCCTTTGGCTGGCACCCGCAGATTGGCTCCTGCTGTGGAGAGTTACAAGTCACAGCAGAAGCAGCATGCACCCGCAACTAGGAAGTGCAGAATCATGTTTATATACATAATTCTACACAGCTCCGCCACCCTGTAACAGTATATTTACTATGGGGCAGTCGGCAAAGGGTTAAGAGCACGGAGTTTCATTTCTGTCTCCTAATTTTATTCCTCCGCTATCCGTAGGAATCACTTCTGACATGCTTTCCTGACACAGAGGATAAAAAAGGTAGCAGGGGAGTGAGCAGGGCCCCGGGGCAATAAGGGATCATGGGGCCGTGTCCTTGCCCACACCCAAAAGCCTATAAAAGGTACCAGGGGCATCTCATGGGGCCCCCTGCTGACAGTGCCAGAGTTTTTGAATGGTCAGTCCGCCCCTGTTTCCAGCACACAGCCTGTGATTGACAGCCTCAGCTCTGTTCCTATGTGGTGAGAGTATGTTCCTTCCCTCCAGTAAGCTCTGAGCTCTCTCCCCACTGTGCTCTGCAGAGTGTAATTTCAGTTATCCACCCCCTTTTTTCTCAGCCAAGCTTTCTAAAGTCTGAACTTTGAAAAGCTGTAGAGAAGTTAACTGCAGATAAACAGGTACAACATATACAGAAGGATTTGTTACATCTGTGTATGACCTAGGGATAGTCAATTCACTCAAGGCAAAATGGTTGTAAACCCTTAATGTGTTTATCACTTTTAGTCTGAAAACTTTTCAGTTTGAAAAGTCATCAGTGCCAATTTATGTAACACGCTGGAAACCCCCCCCCCCCCCCCCCCCAGAAATAGTGTGTGTGTGTATGTGTATAGGGCTTTGTTTGGTGTAACCTATCAAATTTAAACAAAAATAAATAAAAAAAAAAATTGAGGGTTTGCTGGGTGGACAGATTACAGTAAATAGACAAGACTGTCATTAATTGTTGAATTCTGCTGATCCAGTAATTCCAATTAGTCATTTGATTAGGTTTTTCCTCGAGTACATTTCTAGTAACGACTTGCCTCACAGAATTGATCTTGACAGTTACTGCTTAAATCCGTCCCATTAAGTAAAATAAACCCATCCATTTAAAATGTACTTTAGAGGGAGCCATGTAGCCAATGGGACTTCTTTTAACAGAGCCTAAGCTGGCATTCATAGTAATAACCAGTTGTTTTTTTTGTTTAAACAAAACAAAAAAACATGAATTTGTATTTTTTTTTTTTTTTTTTTTTAATGCTTGTGTATTTAAATGGCTGGTTTTTTTTTTTTTTTGGTAGATTCAACAAAAGGATCCCAAATCCTGGGAGTCTCAGTACAAAGATGCACAGGATCCAGCACCGTCTACATCACAAGGACCTTCTTCCTCACAGTCCACCAGGCAAAGCACAGCTGCCTCTCAGTCTGCCAGGAAATCTTTAGCTGCCTCCCAGTCTGCCAGAAAAACTATAGCTTCCTCCCAGTCTGCCAGGAAATCTAAATCCTCTGGATGAAGTTGTAAGTGTCATTCACACACAAAACAGACCAAAATACTTTTACTTTTTTAAGAGTTATTTATTAAAACAAGGTTACATCCAGAAGTTCAGGCTTTATCGTCCTAATTTTGCCCACCAGAGGGCGATACAATACCAGTAAATTCAATGTTCTTTATCAACTAGATGCAAAAATCTCCTTCAATTTTCTTGGCGGTGGTCTCCTCCTGGTCTTAAGTGCCAAGTATTCCAGTGTGCATTTTTTTTTTTTTTTTTCCTTAATGTTCATCAGAAACTGATGAACACTGTGTAGATAAGTTGAATAAATGTTACTGCTGGAAACAATTAATTGCTTACTTTTCTATATAGACTACTCACAAGCAAACATGCATGTACAGATTTTCTATAAAGTCATGATACATTGGTTAGTTGTCATAATTATGGCTGCTTTGTACTATAGCCTCTACATAGGAGGTGACTAAATGTGTCAAAAGGACACACATAATAGAACACAAATGATTGTACTCCAGATACCAGAGGTTAAAAAACTTGCTACACATGCAAAAAAAAAAAAAATTTAACAGAGGCACATTACATGGCTTGCTTATTTTTAAGGCCCTTTGCACACAGGGGAATCTAACTGCTGTATGTTCCATCCAGGAGGGACAGCTGCAGGGTCTAGCGTCACAGCAAGCTGTGACTGAACAGGAATGAACGCTGTACCAAGTGGTATCTGTGTTTAGAGACCTATGCGTTTAGGGCATTACGTGTAGTTGTTCCTGAACACATGGGGGGGGCCTTACTAAAACTGGAGCACACAAACTGGTTACTATACACTAACTTCCGCTTGTTCAATTAATCGCTTCCCGACTGCCCTATAGCAAAATCACATGTATACATACACACGTGATTTACATTGCTGGGTAGGAGGCATGCATGTACTCCCTACCTGTGCTGTGGCTGGCTCCTCTGCATGTCAATCATTGGGTCCTGGCCGGGACTCTGATGTTTGGAAGAGCTGACGAGAGGTCTGTATGGAAACACAGATCTCTCCCCTGGCATACAAATCAGCGTTTCTACATAGTAAAACACACAGCACACTATGTAAAACACCAGTGTCATCAGTACCATGTACTTTTTATTAGCACTAATCACTATATTTGTGGCAGTTAGGCATGCAATTTAAGACTGACCACTTGCCGCCTGTTGTAAAATGCCTTCATTTCTACTTTATCGATCACTGAGTCAAAAATACGTCTGATAAAATTCTTGGGGGTATAAAAAATTTTTTACAGCCCCAACATTCAATCATAGCAGGTTTTTTTTTTTTTTTTTTTTAAACGCAAAAGTTCACTTTTTAAATTGCCCCTTTTTGTCACTATGTGTTTTTTTTTTTTTTTTTTTACGATTCTTCAAGCCCCCACAGAAAACTGTTGAGCCATTCCTCTTGTTGTGGTGCTGCGGTCTCTGCTTTGTGAGAGCAGAAGTCTGCAATTAAAGACCACTAGCCAGGATAGCAAACAGGAGGGTATATTTGCAGAGCTGCAAGTGACAGGACAGGTATAGAAGTGTTCCTGATTGCAGGTCTGCAGTGATAATGGAGGGGGCTGCCTCAAACGCATCACACAGTGCTGCGAGCATGTCAAGGAAAAACGCATTTTGGCTCCTGCTGTAAACCGTTTCACAAGTTGCATTTAATGAGCAGGTTTTCTGTCACCACACCGTATATTTAACCTGCATCAACAACATGAACTAGATGCAACAGACCTAGTGTGAACCCAGGAACACTTCATAACTTGTGCATTATGTTAAGGCAACTCATTCTATTGGAATGGGCTGCCAAAACATTAAAAAGTAAGAATGGGAGGGGGGGGGGGGAACAAAACTGGAGAAGCAATAGCACTTTAAAAGGATAAGTTCACCTTTTGTAACATTTTCCACCCATATTTGGGTGCACTGGCCCCAAGCCCCCATTGTGACAGCTAGCAGGGGATCTGCTCTCTCCCCCACCAGCTGTAACAATTTTTAAAAACAGCAGTGCAGGGCTCCTCTCGCCAGGCTGAGCCATCCATTCACAGTATTCTGTAAATGGGCAGACTACAAGTCCAGACGGCCTTTGTGGCTGTCGGCTTGTAGTTCTCCGTGAACTACCACGGTGCTGTTGAGTGCTCACATGGTACATTGATTCTGTTAGTGTAAAACTGCCTGCACATATAAGCAGGCAGTTTTACACTGACAGTCTGCAGGAGATCTGCATGGCATCAGCAATGCTTTCCAGGCTCCTAAAATTGTGATCTCCATTGCATTAAAGGATAAGTTCACCTTTTAACAAAAAATAAATGTACTTTTTTTTTTTTTTTTTTTTTACCTGCAAAAAAAAAAAAAAAGTGCATTTATTTTTTATTAAAAGGTGAACTTATCCTTTAATGCAATGGAGATCACAATTCTGAATGACACCCCATTGCAGTGAGTAGCGCTCATCATACAGTAAAACACAGCATATATGTGAGGTCAACATTTTGTATTAAAAAAAATAAAAATAAAATCAGAGGCCTTACACACAGTAAATAAAAACCCTAATGCAACACTATACAGGTGAAACTCGAAAAATTAGAATATCGTGCAAAAGTTCATTTATTTCAGTAATGCACCTTAAAAGGTGAAACTAATATATGAGATACTCATTACATGCAAAGCAAGATAGTTCAAGCTGTGATTTGTCATAATTGTTTTATTGATTGCTTACAGTAATATTCTAATTTTCAGATTGTGGATTTGGGGTTTTCATGAGCTGTAATGCAATAATCATCACAAAGATTGAACAATATCGGACCTCTGAAAAATATAAGCATGCATATGTACTCAGTACTTGGTTTGGGCCCCTTTTGCAGCAATTACTGCCTCAATGCGGTGTGGCATGGAAGCTATCAGCCTGTGGCACTGCTGAGGTGTTATGGAAGACCAGGATGCTTCAATAGCGGCCTTCAGCTCTTCTGCATTGTTCGGTCTCATGTCTCTCATATTTCTCTTGCCAATGCCCTATAGATTCTCTATGGGGTTCAGGTCAGGCGAGTTTGCTGGCCAATCCAGCACAGTAATCCCACGGTCATTGAACCAGCTTTTGGTGCTTTTGGCAGTGTGGGCAGGTGCCAAGTCCTGCTGGAAAATTAAGTCAGCATCCCCATAAAGCTCGTCTGTGGAAGGAAGCATAAAGTGCTCCAAAATCTCCTGGTAGACGGCTGCGTTGACCCTGGACTTAATGAAGCACAGTGGACCAACACCAGCAGATGACATGGCTCCCCAAATCAACACAGAGTGTGGAAACTTCACACTGGACTTCAAGCATCTTGCAGTGTGTGCCTCTCCATTCTTCCTCCATACTCGGGGTCCTTGATTTCCAAATGAGATGCAAAAGTTGCTCTCATCAGAAGAGAGGTCTTTGGACCACTGAGCAACAGACCAGGTCTGTTTTTCTTTAGCCCAGGTAAGACGCTTCTGACATTGTTTGTTGTTCAGGAGCGGCTTGACAAGAGCAATACATTTGAAGCCCATGTCCAGGATCCGTCTGTGTGTGGTGGCTCTTGATGCACTGACTCCAGCCTCAGTCCACTCCTTGTGAAAGTCCCCAACACTTTTGAATGGACTTTTCCTGACAATCCTCTCCAGGCTACGGTCATCCCTGCTGCTTGTGCACCTTTTTCTTCCACACAACTTTCTATTAATGTGCTTTGATACAGTACTTTGGGAACATCCAATTTCTTTTGCAATTACCTTTTGAGGCTTTCCCTCCTTATGGAGGGTGTCAGTGATGGTTTTCTGCACAACTGTCAGGTCAGCAGTCTTTCCCATGATTGTGATTCCTACTGACCCAGACTAAGAGACCATTTAAAGGCTCAAGAACCCTTTGCAGGTGTTATGGCTTAATTAGCTGATTAGAGTGGGACACTTTGAGCCGAGAATATTGCACCTTTTCACAATATTCAAATTTTCTGAGATTGTGGATTTGGGGTTTTCATGAGCTGTAAGCCATAATCATCGCAATTATGACAAATCACGGCTTGAACTATCTTGCTTTGCATGTAATGAGTATCTCATATATTAGTTTCACCTTTTAAGTTGCATTGCTGAAATAAATGAACTTTTGCACGATATTCTAATTTTTCGAGTTTCACCTGTATATTGCCATTTAGCCCTAGATATTAAACAAAGGGTTAGAGTTCACCTTTTCATAAAAAGCAGGCAACTTGCAACAGCTTTCCCCAGCTGCTGGTCCTTACTGCATGTACCAGTTTGTGCTGTGTAAAAGCAGCCTAAAAACATCAAAGTACGCACAGTTTTCATGCAGATTTCCTATAGACCTATTAGGTCCTGCACTTTCATAAAGTGCACAACTTAGAAAATCTATGGGAAATCACACAAGTGTTAAAGTGTCAGACTGTTATACCAGCTGAAGAGTCATAACAGATAGATAGAGATGTATGTGTGTATATATCTATCTTTCTATTTTAAAAACAGAACTTTGCTAAAAAAACAATATTTTTATCAAGTTTTTATGGGTAAAGAACATACATTCCACATTGATGAAACTGTAGTTATGGATTTTACACAGTATAGGCACTTATTTTTTATGTTTTACATAGCTATACCAGCAGAAGGGGCCACCCTGATGTGATCTAGCAGGACTTAAGTTCCACTTCAAAGTGCCTGACCATATACCAGCTGGAGAAAGTCAGAAGATGTGTATCAGTTCCATACAGTGGGTAGGGTACTGTGCATTAGTTCACCTGTTAAAAGGTAAGTGCACCTTATGTTACACCCATAATCCGAGTGTGACACATTACAGATGCGCCACGTTCCAGCGTTCCCAGAAATGGGTCGTCCCGTGCTCCCGCCGACCCACACGGGTCAGTCACCTCACCCTCCGGCCTTCCCAGACACAGGTCTCTCTCCCCCCCCCCTCCCCCCTTTGACAGCAAGCAGGAAGATCGGTTCTGCCCACCCAGCCTCATCATTCATTCACA